CTGAGCCTGCGCGTCCCGAGCCTGTGCTCCGCAACGGGAGAGGCAACAACAGCGAGAGGCCCGCAAAAAAAAAAAAAAAAAAAAAAAAAAAAAAAAAAAAAAAAAGAAACAAGTAAGCATATACCCAGAATTTTATACTTTTCAACTTCCCCACTGCACCACCCTAAGTCACCATCATCCATATGTGGATTTTTACAACTGCATCCTAACTTCTCTCCCTGAATCTGCTCTATTAAAGCCAGTCAGATCTCATCACTCCTCTGCTCAAAACCCTCCAATGGCTATTCTCACAATAAAAGCCAACGTCCTAACAACGATGACACAGAAAGCCCTCCCTGGCTCTTCATCACCTCTCCGAATTGATCCACCACTAAGTTCCCCTTCCTTCTCTCTGATCCCACCACCGCATCCCCCTTTCTGTTCCTGGAAAACACCTGGCAGGCCCTCACCTCAAGGACTTTGCACTGCTGTTTATTCCCCTGTCCAGTTAGTCACATAGTTTGCTCTCCCTTCAGTTCTTAACTCACAAGTCATCTTTTCATCTCCCTGGACAACCTATGTAAGATTTCAGCAACCCTCCCCTAAAAAATATTCCTTATTGCCTTCCTCTGCTCTACTTTTTCTTCTTGACATTTTCATTATCTAACACACTTCATATACTTACTTATTTACCTATATATTGTTTACTAGGAACACCAGTTTAAGTCACCTCATTAGTGTAAGTCCAGGTGTGATCCAAAGAGGGGCTTTAAGAATAAAGACACGCCCATCACAGGAAATTTCAAGGGTTTTAGGAGCTCTGTGCCAAGAATTGGGAACAAAGACCAAATAGTTTTTATTTATTATACCACACTCTCCCATTGGGGCATAAGTTTCATGTGGCAAGGGTTTTTTCCCTCTATTTTATTATTTTTCTCTATTTTATTTATAACTTATTTAATATAAACTGTTTTTACATTATACTTCATATAACTTAACACTTTATATTTTATTTTGCTCTACCTTACTTCCTCTATTTCATTCAATACTGTATCCCAGTGCAATAATGCACACAGTAGATGCTAAATAAATACCTGTTGAGTAAATGATTAAATTAAATGGGCTCTTACTATATGTCACATTTTGAACTATGTACTTTACTTATATTATCTCATTTAATCCTCCTAACAACTATAAACATTAGTTACTATTACATTTCTATCACACTTTCTCAGCAAGAAAGTACTATAGGAAGAAGGATTCTAACACAGATAATCTGACTCCAGATTTCACTGAAAGACTTTTCATCCCATGGTTATTGATACAGAAATAAATTCATAACATTGTTTTTTAAATGAAAAAAGCGAGCCGTAAACCTTTATGTAACTTTTTTTTAAAGTATGCATACACATATTTGTGTAGAGTTAAAAGGATGAAAGAACTTATTCTAAAATGTGATCTACTGAGGTGATGAAATTATAGGTGATCTTCCTTATTTATATTTTTCCTTTCAGGATTTTTGGCTATTAGCGTGTATTATTTTTAGAGTCAGAAAAAAACGATAAGCTCTTTTAAAACTTACAAGAATCAAGGAATTCCCTGGCGGTACAGCAGTTAGGACTCCACGCTTTCACTGCTGAGGGCCTGGGTTCAATGTCACAAGCTGTACAGCGTGACCAAAAAACAAGAACAACAAACAAACAAACAAAAAACTATAGGAATCAAATTATTTTAAGATACATATTTTCTGTCTATACATTTTTTGTTTTTGTTTTTGTTTTTTTGGCCTCCCCGTGCGGCTTCTGGGAATTTAGTTCTCCGAGCAGTACTACCTGGGCCCTCAGCGAGAGTGTGAAGTCCTAAACACTGGACCCCCAGGGAATTCCCTGTCTATAACCTTGAAAAGTTTTATTTTAATTAGTTGTACCTCTTCTCATTCAATAAAGAATTTAAACTGCTAAAAGATGGTTTGATCTCTCCTCAATTAAAAGGTTGAACTTCTGTGTCATATAACGGTCCTACGTGAGTCCAGTTAGGACTACCTATAGTACAGAAAATTCCTTCACTACCTCTACCGACATTGCATACCACTAACTCCATTCAGCTAATGATAAATTCTCCTAAAATCGGGTCTTCTTGACATCAATTTCTTGCAGTTCAGTTTCAAAAGGTTTAATATTGTATTCAGCAAGCCAAGTCAAATTCTTTTTCAAACGATTGGTAGGACTCCTCCAGACACCGGTCATCTTGGTAAATAAGACCTACTTGCATCCAGATGATCAAACCCAGAAACACCTCTTTCCATCATCCCTCATGAAACTCTATTCTTTTTTCTTTCTTTCTTTTTTGGCCGCACCACGCGGCTTCTGGGATCTTAGTTTCCCGACTAGGGAGTCCTAACCACTGGACCACCAGGGAATTCCCTCTGTTCTTTTTTCAAAATAAATCTCATCCCCTTCTTTCCATAACCAGTCACCACTTAGCAGTGCATTATCCCTCTCTGGATTACTGCAATAACATCCTAAACTGAAAACATTTCCACTCTGTCCTTCAACATTCTCCACACAGCAAGAAGCCAGAGTAATATATTACTCTGTAATAGACTGTAATGTAAATCTGATCATTTTACTCCTTAACATGCTTAAAAGCATTCAATGGTTTCCAACAAACTTAAAATGAAGCCCAAAGTCCCTTCTTGTAAGACCCTGTATGATCTGCATCATGTCTTCGCCCCAACCTCCTTTCCATCACTGGCCCTTTAATCACCACGCTCTAGCCACACTGGCCTTATTCCTGTTCCTCCAATCAGCTAGGCTTGTCACTATCTCAGAACCTCCAGATGTTCTGTCTACCTGTTCACATCTGTTCACTCTTCATTTGGCTAACTCCTACTCATTTTTTGCTTCATATCATCAAGATTCCACATTTGCTTTGTTCACCTAGCACATTACTGATGCCCAATAACTAACCACTTTATTTTTTATTACCCCACCAGTATTAGCAAAATTCAAAACAAAACAAAAGAAAAGGGAGTGCAGGTTACACAGAGGAACATAATTATATGCTTTAACCAAGAAACTAAAGAACGTCAAAAATTATTTTTAAAACGGAATGTTTTCAAAAATTGTTTATTTGCAAAACTGTGAAGAACTCTCAAAAAAAAAATCTAAATGTCACCATCAAAAAAGATTTTTAACTGAACTAAGAACAAAACATTGTCACCGGTGATTACTCCTGAAAGAAGAATTAAAAATAAAAACGCTTGGAAATCTTTTTTCTCTGCCCTTTTGCTTCTAAAATGAAAAGATGGGGAGGAGGCTGAATCAAAATTTTAAGTGCAAGCAGTCAATAACTTAAATATATCAATATATATTTATTACTTTTGGTCAAAAAAAGAGAGAAAGCATTCATAGAAGATTATTCAAACTTTTATAGCATGTTTGGGTTAAATTCCATTTAAAATAAAGAGTAGAGAATCGGGGCTGTTTAGACGAAAGTCTTTTAAGAGGAGGAAGGATGGAAAAGAAACATCACTTGCTCCCTTTACATCTACGGCAGACGTTTCCCCTGCCCCCTCCCCACCCCCACCCCAGAAGGTCTAGCACTGAACAATGCCTGATGGATTCTGTAGCAAAAATTCCACGCAATCAAATCGATAAGCCAAGGTCTCCATCACGCTCGTATTTTGCTTCTGCTTCATCGTCAGCCATTTACTCTCAGCTTCGCCCCGATCCCTTCTCAACCCCAGGACTCCAACTGGATTAAACGCTTCCCTCCTACGATCCCTTAAGAGAAACCACTTCCAAGAAACGCAAACGGCAAACGCGGGCAGGGCGGGGGGAGAAAAATGGACTGGATGCCGGACCCACCTGGGGCTGAACGGTGCTCGACAGGGAAAACATCTTCTCCAGGCCGTCAGCGACCTCACCCGCCTGCCGAAACTGTCCCTCTTGTCCACGGCCCGGCGGGGAGGCGCTGAGCCCGTTTTTTCCCCTTCTTTTCTCTCCCCTCTCGCCCTCACTCTTCCTAGAAACGGAAAATGGCCTCCCCTCCCTACAGCTGCTGCAAATACAGACAATCTGCCCCAGAAGGCAAGGCGCTAACGCAACAGTACTTCCGGGGCAGGTGAGGCCGCCACCCAGGGGCGTGCGTTAACGCTCCGCCTTTTCGGGGGCAGCTGACGCCTCCCAAGGTAGTTCACGTTCACGTTGAGTAATGCAGGCGCCGGAGCCCCAAAGCTCATTGGCTGTAGTTTTCTTTTTAAAGGGGAAAGACACGGACCCTGTTAAAATCTTTCTCCAGCTTTGTTATCAATGCTTACAATATATTCTCCTGTTCTGACTGGGCCTTGAGCTATGATAATCTCTTTTGCTACAATTAAGTGCTCTTTATCTTCCCCACAATAAATAAAAAGCTCTTCCTATTTCAGATAGGCAAGTTACATCCTGTTAAAATGTCAAATTACAGGACCAGTCATGCGCATCCTGCTCATCCAGTTTCTCCACATTCTGTGATTTCACTGGCCATTGTTTCACGGACCAGACCGAACTGGTTTACGTTTCTCCCGCGGGTGGGAGGCCGTAAAGGAGTTTAAAAAACAAAACAAAAAAAAGTGGGATGAGGGCCGGGTCCCACCAGCCTCGTTTGGAGGTCGGGAGAAAACTCTTCAGATCCCTCGATTCAGAGTCAAGCCCCCGTAATCCCTTTCCCCGTCTGCCAAGAACTATTTGTGCCGCCCCCTATCACTACAAACGAGGTTCGTGAGCCGCTGTCACCCTGGAAGAGTCTGGTTGGTTCAAGAATTTCCCAGCTGCCCCGCCTTCACGTTCATTGGCTTCTGCGTCAACACAGAGCAAGTGACAGGGGCGGGGCCGCACTGGATTGGGCGTGGCGTGCGCAGCGACGGGATGACATCACGGCCGGAGAGCGGCGTGGGCGGAGCCTCGCTTTGAAACCAGTTGGCGGGAGTTGCGGCTCCGGAAGGGCTCTTGGGCGCTGACGGAGACTTGCATCCGGGCTGGCCTGCTGTGGAGACCACCGCCGGCGGCGAGATGGAGGGTGGAGGAGGCACGCCGACAGGGGAGTTCGTGAATAGGATCCCGGTGCCACGACCTCCCTCCATTGAAGAGTTCACCATAGTGAAGCCCATTAGCCGCGGCGCCTTCGGGAAGGTGTATCTGGGGCAGAAAGGCAACAGGTTGTACGCGGTGAAGGTAAGAGTCAAGGAATAAAGAAAGCGAAAGAGGCCGGCCCTTGGGCCCTCCTTCCCGCCCCCCGAACTTGGCAGGCCCCAGGGCCGCTGGAACGACTAGACGGGTGCCTGGCTCGCTGAAACCTCCGGAGCCCTGTGGGATAACTTCTCACTTGGGGTGACAGCGCGGGCAAGTCGGTGCCACCTCTGCCCCGCCCTTCTCTTCGCACCGCGAACGCTTAGGAGACGCCAGAACTTCTGAATCATTTTTACTAATTTGGGCTTTACCAGGATTAGGGTTGAAACTTTAAATTTGAAACAGTTATTTCCATATTATATTTTAATTCTATCAGTTTGACAGATTCATTTTTTTATTGAGATGTAACTGACATTTACTAGTTTCAGGTGTACAACATAATGATTATTTGTCTATGGTGAAGTGATCTCCACAATGTCTAGTTAACAAACATCATGACACAGCTACAAATTTTTTTTCTTGTGATGAGAACTTTTAAGATCTCTCTCAGCAGCTTTCAAATATACAATGTAGGATTAACTGTAGTCAGCATGCTGTGATGTAGATTAACTTCTGACCTATATGCCCAAAAGATCTCATTAAACCCCACTTTTCTCTTCATTCTATAAATCTAGAATGTACTTATATTTAAACACGGAGCTGAAATATGTCCCAAATCACTCCTTTATCCTTGCAGTAGTATATATCATTCCAAAACATTCAAGAGCTTTCAATATATTTGAAGCTGTTCTGGCCACTCTTGATTCTCATCCACTCCCATAGTTTCAGATTACTCACATCTCAGCACTGAGTGATGGTGATAAAGGAAAGAAGCCAGCAGTCTGATGCAGTTTCAACTTCCTGTCGGACATTGTTGTGTGAATATCTAGCAGGCACCTCGGAATTGTGCTTGCCTAGCTTCGAACAATCCTCTCCACCTAACTGCCTCCTGTGTTCCTTCTCTCCATGTAATAATACCACCATTTCTGTCATTCAGCTAGAAACTTCAGTCATTTTAACTTTTCTCTAGTTCATCTGTATATTCTCTCTCTCAACTAGGCCTGTCAATTCTGTCTCATATTCATTCGTATTACCCCTTCCATTCCATTCCCAAGTCTGCCCAAGTACAGGACTTCATTTTTTCCATTTCTTTTTTTCTTCTTTCCCTTTCTTTCTTTCTTTCTCTTTCTAAAAGTACAATTCAGTTTTTAGTAAATTAAATATAGAGTAACCATGACCACATTCCAATTTTAGAACATTCCCATCACCCTGAAAAGACCTCTCTTGCTCATCTGCAATGTCTCCCCCACTTAACACCCCTAGCCCCAGGTAATCATCAGTCTACTTTCTATCACTATAGGTTTGCCTTTTCTGGACATTGCGTATAAATGGAATCATGAAATATATGGTCTTTTGCATCTGGCTTTTTTCACTTGACATGATGTTTTTAAGGTTCATCAGGCCTTTATTTCTATACCTAGTCTATTGGAACAGGCCCCTAACTGGAATCACTATTTTATTCCTTTGGCTGTGCCATGCAAGCTAAAGTCCAAACTCCTTAGAAAAGCAGTCATGCTCCAAGTTCTGGCTCTAAGCTTCCACTGTATCTTCTACATATTCTATGTTCTAGCCACTCCAGACATTTGGCTAGTCCTTGAATGCTGTGTATTGTCTTGCTTCCAAATTTGTTTATTCTGTTTCCTCCTTAAGTGCCTTCCTTCCACCCTTCTCTGCTCTTCTCCACCTATGTTATTTATGTATTAAGGTTCATCTTAGCCCCCCTTCAAGCCTCTCCTGACCTTTCAGACCCACCCTATTGAAATTAATTCTCTCTTGCTTCATATGTTCCCAAGATTTTTTGCGTTTCCTTCTATTATACTAACCAGTCACTATTAGCTGTTGAAATGAAAACACCAATACACTTTTTGATAAGTACTTGTGAATATCCGCTTTGTGTGTAGAGTCTGTGTACAGTGGTAACAAAACGAACATGCCCTCATAGAACTTGCAATCTAGTGGAATGATAGGTGAAATCATGTTTCAGACTGGCTTTGTCAGTTTCCCTTGTTTTCTTATGGAAAGGCTCTAAGGCAGGAATTTACAGCGTATTAATGATTTTATTACATGTTCTATTGAATCTTTGGAAGAAATATGCCTTTTTTTGACTTGTAATCTTCCTGAGAATTGATCTCAATGTTACTAACTATTCAGTTTAGTGCTCCAATATTTTTTTAAATTTATTTATTTTTGGCTGCGTTGGGTCTTCGTTGCTGTGCACGGGCTTTTCTCTAGTTGCGGCAAGCAGGGGCTACTCTGTTGCGGTGCGCGGGCTTCTCACTGCGGTGCTTTCTCTTTGTTGCGGAGCACGGGTTCTGCGTGCGTGGGCTTCGATAGTTGTGGCTCGCGGGCTCAGTAGTTGTGACTTGCAGGCTCAGTAGCTGTGGCGCACAGGCTTAGTTGCTCCGCGGCATGTGGGATCTTTCCGGACCAGGAATCGAACCTGTGTCCCCTGCATTGGCTGGCAGATTCTTATCCACTGTGCCACCAGGGAAGCCCTAGTGCTCCAATTTTAATGTAGATTATAGTTTTGCTTCCATACCAGTTACCTTGAGATTTAAAAAGAGTAGTTAGTTATTTTCTATAACACAGCATCAGAGACTATTAAGTTTCAGTAAACTAACCATTTTTAAGAAAAATTTTTCCCAGGCAAACAAACATACATTCTTCCTCTTTCTGTTTCTATTTCCATCCATCAAAGAACCAGAAATTTAAAAAAATGAATTAGCTACTATTTCTCTATGCCTACATTCCTGATTATCTGGGGACGTATTAGGAACATTACTATCTTTTGGCTTAGTCAGGGAGCATTTGCTTACATCTTTTTCCTTATCAAAAGGGATGTGATACTTTTGCCACTTGATACCAAGATAAGCAGTTCTATGTTAAAGAAAGTTTTGTTTTGTTTTCACCATATTAGCTGTTTTTCTAGCAGAGTTTCCCGCTGGCAATGTGAGGTCCAAACAGCATCTGTGTTTTCTCTCTCTGATTGTTTTCATGATGGCAACTTGGAAACCTGAGAATACTTTGTCATAAAAAATAAAATGGTTGTGTGTATTGTTACGTACTACAGGTTGTCAAAAAAGCAGACATGATCAACAAAAATATGACTCATCAAGTACAAGCTGAGAGGGATGCCCTGGCCCTAAGCAAAAGTCCTTTCATTGTGCATTTGTACTATTCACTGCAGTCAGCAAACAATGTCTACTTGGTGAGTAAATAACTTGACATTTTCTCTTCATTCAGGAATCACTGAACCCAGTGACTTAAGAATTACAGTCTCTGGGTTCAGAGTACCTGGGTTTGAATTCCAGATCTTGCACTTACTAGCTTTATGACCTTGGCCAAGTTACCTTACCTGTTCTGTTAGTTAGGGTTCTCAGGGAAAAAGAACAATAGAGTGTGTGTGTGTGTGTGTGTGTGTGTGTTTCTGTCTGCCTGTGTCTGTGTGTGCATGTGTGTATGTGTGTGTGTGTGTGTGTGTGTGTAGAGAGAGGGGGATTTATTTTAGGGAATTGCCCTACATGGTTATGGTGCAAGCAAGTCCAAAATCTGCAGGGTAGGCCAGCAGGCTGTAGACTCCAGGAAGAGTTGATGTTGCAGCTCAAGCTCAAAGGCAGTGAAGAGGTAGAATTCCCTCCTCTTTGGAGGAGAAAGAGATGACACCTCAATTTTTTTTCTCTTCAGCTGATTTGGATAAGGCCCTCCCACATGATGGAGGGTAATCAGCTTTTACTCAAACTCTAATGGTTTAGATGTTAATCTTGTCTAAAAAATACCTTCACAGCAACATTTAGATCAGTGTTTTTTGTTTGTTTGTTTGTTTGTTTTTTGCAGTATGGGCCTCTTGCTGCTGTGGCCTCTTCCGTTGCAGAGCACAGGCTCTGAATGCGCAGGCTCAGCAGCCATGGCTCACTGGTCCAGCTGCTCCGCGGCATGTGGGATCCTCCCGGACCGGGGCACGAACCCGTGTCCCCTGCATCGGCAGGCGGACTCTCAACCACTGCGCCACCAGGGAAGCCCTAGATCAGTGTTTGACCAAATATCTGGGTACCATGGCTTAGCCAAGTTGACACATAAAATGAACTATCACACCTCAGTTTCTCCATTTGCAAAATGGACATAATAATAGTACCTATCTCAAAGGTTGTTATGAAATTTCAATAGGTTGATATAAACTATGTAGAACAGTGTGTGGCACAGAGTGCTACAAATATTTGCTAAGTAAAGGATGCATAATAGAAATACTACATAAAGCTTGGGATATAATAAGGAAAGATTTAGGGAAGTGGTGGATTTGTGGTGTATGGACTTAGAGAGTTGCTTGCTTTTCATTTAACACAGCAGCTTACACTTTTAATTCTAATGAGGAATTTGGGTGGGGGCAGGAAGAGGTGAGGATGGTAGGTGTTTTGACTTCAAGTTCTAGAGGTTCTTCTGACTTCAGAGACAGTGTGTGGATTAAATGTTTGGTAACTCCAATAGCTTCTGTTTAGTGTAAACTTTACATCTTTTAAGCCAATAGTTGGCAAACTGGCCCATAGGCCAAAGAGCACGGGCTCTAGGCACACGGGCTCAGTAGTTGTGGCGCACGGGGTTGTTGCTCCGTGGCATGTGGGATCTTCCCGGACCAGGGATCGAACCCATCTCCCCTGCAATGGCAGGTGAATTCTTAACCACTGTGCCACCAGGGAAGTCCCTACTATAATATTTTTGAATTATTATTCCTGAAATCAGATAGGCGGCCATATCTTGTCTACTAACTTCATCACTGGTTTAGATCCTTGATATTTAAAGTGTGTCCACAGACAAGCAGTATCAGCATCGTCTGAGAGCTTGTTACAAATGCAGAATCTCAAGCTGCACTCCAAATCTGCTGAATCAGAACGTGATTTTGTTTGTTTGTTTTTTGTTTTTTCTCCATGCTGTGTGGCATGTGGGATCTTAGTTCCCCGACCAGGGATCGAACCCGCACCCCATGCAACGGAAGTGCGAGTCTTAACCACTGGACTGCCAGGGAATTTCCCAGACTGTGAATTTTAACAAGATCCCCAGGCATGTTAAAGTTTGAGAAGCACTGGCTTAGACAAAAGATTTCCTAGAAATCAAAGCTACTTTGAGACAAAAAGATAAAGTATGACTAAACTTAGCCACAATAACAACAAATAATTGATTACTACTTTCCAGGTACTATGCTGAGTACAAGGAACATAAAGATGGAAATGTTTATTACGGGAACGTTCAAACATATACAAAAATTGAAAGATTACTATAATAAACTCCCATATATCATCATCCAAGTTCACCAGTTGGCAACACTTCACCAAATTTGTTTAATCCATTCCAACCCCTCCACCAACCTTTCATGTAATGGTCTTGGCATCCTGTGATTGAATGCCTCGATTCTTTATTTTTTTTTTAAACATCTTTACTGGAGTATAATTGCTTTACAATGGTGTGTTAGTTTCTGCTTTATAACAAAGTGAATCAGCTATACATACATACATACATATATATATATATATCCCCATATCTCCTACCTTTTGCATCTCACTCCAACCCTCCCTATACCACCCCTCTAGGTGGTCACAAAGCACCAAGGTGATCTCCCTGTGCTATGTGGCAGCTTCCCACTAGCTATCTATTTTACATTTGGTAGTGTATATATGTACATGCCACTCTCTCACTTCATCCCAGCTTACCCTTCCCCCTTCCCATGTTCTCAAGTCCATTCAATATGTCTGCATCTTTATTCCTGTCCTGCCCATAGGTTTTCAGAACCTTTTTTTTTTTTTTTTTAAGATTCCATATATATGTGTTAGCATATGGTATATGTTTTTCTCTTTCTGACTTACTTCACTCTGCATGATAGTCTCTAGGTCCATCCACCACACTACAAATGACTCAATTTCGTTTTTTTTTTTTATGTCTGACTAATATTCCATTGTATATATGTGCCACATCTTCTTTATCCATTTCTTTATTTTTTTTTTAAACATCTTTACTGGAGTATAATTGCTTTACAATGGTGTGTTAGTTTCTGCTTTATAACAAAGTGAATCAGCTATACATACATACATACATATATATATATATATATATATATATATACACACACACACACACACACATATGCGTCTCCCTCCCACCCTCCCTATCCCACCCCTCTAGGTGGTCACAAAGCACTGAGCTGATCTCCCTGTGCTATGTGGCTGCTTCTCATTAGCTATCTATTTTACATTTGGTAGTGTATATATGTCCATGCCACTCTCTCACTTCATCCCAGCTTACCCTAATGCCTGGATTCTTTATTAAGGTTTTCAAAATGATGATTTTAAAAAATTCTATTATTCCTTCAGCTTTTATTAGCTGGAATTCATCTATAAAGAACTTTCCCTTATTATCTATTTCATTGCTCTGAAATACAGCTTGTCTAAGGAAGGCAGAATAAATGCTTGATTCTTTCCCTTTCATCACCAGTTTTCAGAAGTGCAACCTCTAAATAAGTGTGTTTTTTAAAGTATCTTTATGAATTCATGGAATGTTGTAGTTTTGATGTGTTTTAATCCATCGCAGTCATTTTTTTCTGTGTTTAAATTGTCCCATCTTTAGTGAGTGGGAGCCCCTTCAGTTCATTTCTTTGTCTTTTTATACTATCCTAGTATTCTGATAGCTTCCTTGCTTTCTGGCATGACAAGATAGTTAAGGCTCATTTTGCAAATGTCCTGAACTAGATCTAGGCAAGGAGGTCTAGCTCCTTTTGGGGAAATAGTGTCTAGAGACCGTGATCTAGGAGGTAGTGATTAGAAAAGTTCATTGCCACTAGGTTGTCATTCCTTTTAGGCACTCTCAGTGGACAGACTAGGAAACACACATTTTTATAGAAAAATATATCACGAGTTCATGCTGATATTTCCAGGTCAAAGGAAAATTACAGAATTTTTACTTAACATTTTTGAAAAATATATAAAATATAAAAATATTTTGAAAATATTTGTATTCTTTCACCCTGAGAATCTGGGTTCCTAACTATATCTATATATCTATATCTATATCTATATCTATATCTATATGCATATAGTATTTTCAACATAGCAATACCAGTATTGTTTTCCTAACACTAAAACAACTGGATTCAATTTAGGATTTCTCTGCAATTCTTTTTGCCCTTATGATGTATGTACTATCAAGATTCTGTTCTCTGAAGTCACTTGAAATAATTCTGTGTGGTTATGAAACTTGAGATAGTGTAAAGTTCATTCATTCCCCTTTTGTATCAGAGATTTCTACTCGAAAAGGGAATCCATAAAAATACTAGAAGAAAACTGATGTGATTATTTTAATAGAATGGTGCACATCTTACTAAGTGAAAAATAAAGCCTACTTTGACACAAAATACCATATATATGGTCAGTAAGAAAGGGTAAATACCCCAATAGAAAAATAGGCAAAGAATACAAGTGATTCAGAGAAGAAATATGAAAGACTAAAAGCAGTGTAAAGGTGCTAAATCTCCCTAAAAGTAAATAAACATTTAAACAAGTTCATTGTTTCTTCCTTAGATTGACAAAAAATATTGATAATCATTGTTGATGAGGGTGTGAGAAAACAAGCATTCTCATGAGCTCAAATACAGTTATGTTTGCTTATTTCCCTACTAATAAATTATAATCGTTAAGTGCATCAGTTACATTTTATTCATGCTATATTCCCCATGCTAGCACAGTTTTTGTGCTTAGTAATGTTTTAATGATTCATACCATCAACAAATATTAACTAACCTCTGTGTACCAGGGAAGTGATTGCCTTAAAGAGGAAAGAAATGACTTATATTATCAAGTCCTTAGTAGGCAATATTTTATAGCTTGAAACTATAGAAAATTTTGAGAATAATGACTAGTACATGTAGAAGGATTAATAGAGCTTTGCAGCCTCATAGCAGTAATGAATTCAGGCAAGAATCATGTGTAGTCATATGATGCTAAAATCATTGCTTGAAAGTTTGTTGGGGAAAGAGGGTATTTACATAGTTTCAAAGTATCTTCCCCAGATTGCCTATTAATTACAAAGGGGAGAAAATACTTCTTCAGTGGAGAAACCTGGAAGTCACCACCTTAACTAAGTCATCAAAGTTAACATTACCAGGAATGGAACACACTAATATTTAGCAGTCTCATCTGGTGGAAGTCACTAAGAAGTACTCAACGTCGATTTTGTAGTATTCCTGCCCAAAATTCATAACCTGAATTGAATCATAAGGAAATAATCAGATGTCATGAAAGACTGTCCCATACCCCATCCAGTACCCTGCCAAAAAAAGGCAAAAAATTATTCCAGATTAAAGGAGATGAAAGAGATATGACAACTAAATCTCATGCATGGTCCTGGCCTGGGCATGAGAGATGAGGAGAGAGGCCATCAGGAACAATATTGGGGTAATCAGAGAAATTTGAATACAGACTATGCAACAGGAATAGCATTATTTTAGCACTAAATTCCATGCATTTTATTATGCTATAGTTACATAAGAATGACCTTGTTGGGAGATACATGATGACCTCTTCAACTTTATTGAGTTAGCCAAAATTTTAAAGTTATAGATTAATACCAGTTGCTAATGTCGCCATATTTTTTTAAATTAAACTGTTTAATCTGAACAAAAATACATGCATGTAAGGTATTTATGTTAATGATGTTAATAATTGTGTTATGTTTATTATGTAACATAGTCATGTTAATGATTAGCATAAATATTCATTTTAATATTCATTTATGTGGAGAGGAAGAAAGCAAATGTGGCAAAGTGCTAACGATGGGCGAATGTAGATGGAGAGAATATGAGAAGTCATCCTGCTCTTCTCACACCTTTTCTGTATGTCTGAATTTTTGTTCAGACTGAACAGTTTAATTTAAATTTTAAAAAGTATATGGCAGTATGAGTAAACCTGGTATTGATGTGTACTGAGTGACACCAAGAAAATGTGTCTTATAGGACCATGCTAAAAATGCATAACCGTAATGCTCAAATAAGATATTTTTAAAGTAGTCATATTGGTTTTATTTTGCAATATTTATATTCCTTTCGACAGGTAATGGAGTATCTCATAGGTGGAGATGTCAAGTCTCTCTTACACATATATGGTTATTTTGATGAAGAGATGGCTGTGAAATATATTTCTGAAGTGGCATTGGCTCTAGACTATCTTCATAGACATGGAATCATCCACAGGTAAAGACTGACTTTTCTCCAAACTATTACTTAAAGCACAAGTAATCAAATTATGTATTAAATATTTGAGTCTTAAATATTTGCATAACCCCACATATCTGGGTTATCTAAAGTTTAGTAGTAACTTGTGTGAGTTTAGAAATTATATCAACTCTTCTTTCATCTCCCTGTGTGTTTTAAATATGTTGCTTTGTCTTCGGGTATCCCATTTTGTGGAGAATATTGAATCTTTTTTCCACTCCTTTAGCTGTACGTCATATAAAAGTGCTATATGTTATAATGCCAGCTGATTTACAGTGTTTTGCTCTTTGCAAAGAAAGGTTAAGTGGCTCTTTTCGATTAAGGCTTAATCTCACCCTCCTTGAAAGAGGTAAACATGATTTTGACCTGGCTTGAGGTTTATTTTACCTAATGAAGTTTATTTATTTTAATAGAATATGTAATGAATAATGCCAAAGATAATCTAGCATTAAATAGTTAACTTTCTTGTAGATTCAGATATACAAAATATAGTTTGCTTTTGAGAGTTGTTTTCTGCACTTTCAAAGCCACCAATGAGAGAAAATAAGTCGGGTTTGATTGTTCTGTAACTTTCTGGTTTTTTTCGCTGGTAATTCTAAAATCAACACTACATCTTTTTTAGTTATCTGCTCTTTGTTTTTTATATGTGCAGGGATTTGAAACCAGACAATATGCTTATTTCTAATGAAGGTCACATTAAACTAACAGATTTTGGCCTTTCCAAAGTTACTTTGAATAGAGGTAAGAAGCACAGCAAGTAAGTACCTTTTAAAAAATCCAACACATTTTAGACACTACATTTCATTAACTTATACTGTTTTCTTTGTTAGTTTATAATGAATAAAATTTGATGATTATTTTTTTCTGCAATAGGCTAAAAAGGTATACTGGTATTTTCAATCAATTAAAGATGAAAACGGATTAACTAATCTTATATCCTCAAAGGTCCTTGAAGATCTTTGGATCTTCAAAGAGGAACTGACAGTTTCTGTTCTTCCAAATTTTTATCCCTACTGAAACTAGTGCTGACCAATTAAACATCAGTAAAATGACTGAAATAACTACATGATAGACAACTAATACCTAAAGAAATTATTCAAATATACATGACCACCACCTTGATAAACAAAGGACAAAGAATATAAACACAGAATTCACAAATACATATATATGGGGGTATGTTAATTTCACTTCTCGTAGCACTAGAAATGCTAATTTAAAAAAGTAATAAATGGGGGCTTCCCTGGTGGCGCAGTGCTTGAGAGTCCGCCTGCCGATGCAGGAGACGCGGGTTCGTG